TCTCACACTGTCTGACATCTCCCTTCACCCACTTTTCTGTTGTCCGTCCCCCAGGGAGGAGGTTATATGTACATCCTTGTGATCAGTTCCCCGTTTCTAGCCCACCTTCCCTTTCCCCTCCTGGTATGGCTACTCTCATTATTGGTCCTGAGGGTTTTAACTGTCCTGGATTCCCAGTGTTTCCAGCTCTTATCTGTACCCATGTACATCCTCTGGTCTAGCTGGATTTGTAAGGTAGAATTGGGATCATGATAGTGGGGGGGAGGAAGCATTTAGGAACTAGAGGAAAGTTGTATGTTTCATCGCTGCTATACTGTCACATGCGCATTTTACTAAGCATGTCAACACCCCTTCAATTGAGCATATGCAAGGTAACCCCTAGAGCTAAAGCTGACCCTAACACTCCTATTATCATGTATAGTAAAACCTGTGAAAGTCAGAGCCCGTGTAAGGCAGAAATTTCATCAAAGAAGGAAAACAAATAGTTTCCACCTCAAAAAAGCAATAGAAACATGGTAAGACTGAATCCCATCTAAGGCAAAAAACTCACTAATCCTTAAAAAATAAATAAATAAAGCAGTCCCATCAGGTTCTGGCTCTCATGGGTTTCACTGTAGCATATATATTTAGATATGATATATGTAATATCTGGGGTAAATAAAAAAGAATTGCTATGCTGGTTCCAGTTCATACATGCAGAGGTCTATTCCCAACAATGTATGTTTAAACATGTCTCTACAGCCAGTGGATAGCTGTGAATGCAGTAAGTGCTCTTAGTAACACATTTGTCGTAGTCTCCTTAGGGCGGTGGTTCTCAACCTTCCTCATGCCACGGCCCTTTAATACAGTTTCTCATGTTGAGCTGACCCCCAACCATAAAATTATTTTCGTTGCTACTTCATAACTATCATTTTGCTATGTACGAATCGGGCGACCCCATGAAAGGGCCGTTCGATCCCCAAAGGGGTCGCAACCCACAGGTTGAAAACCACTGCCTTAAGGTGCTCTCAAAAAAAACACCCCAAAACGCCTAATCAAAACAGTGGCTTATCAACAGAACTGTGGGGCCAGTTAAATTCTTAAGAGGTCAACACAGAGAGTTTTGTCAACTGGTTTGGGGGAGTCCAAAGGGAAAAACTTGATGGATTTCCTGGAAGGATGCAGGACTTATGATGAAGGAGTTTCAAGAAGAAGGAAAACGGCCTTGATGAGAAAAAGGGCAGCAACATGTTCCGTGAGAGCACTGCCCTGCTGCTGCTGCTTCCGGGCTCACCGAGAGTACCCTGGGACACCCCATCCGGAAATTGTACCCCACCCACCCTACAACCCTGCTCAGACTTCCTTTAGGGTTCCAAACTCAAAGAACATTGAAGAGGGACGTGATTTGAGTCCCTCGAAGGTGCAACTGCCATTTTAACATGGTGTAAATTAAAACTTACAGAATTCTTTGATGAAGGGTTAGAGAGATGTACTTGCTGTCCCTATAGGCTTATCGATCCTGGGTTTCATATACAGAAGAACATGTAACACAGCTTCAAGAGAGTGACCCTCAGTGACCTAACACCTCTGAGATAAACCCTGATAAACATAAACCCTAGACCAACCAAAAAATACAGAAAATGTTGAAAACTGGATCAGGTCCAGCATGCCTCCAGGAGTGATCAACAGACAAGGTTTTCACTGTTCAAGTCTGGTTTATCCCTCTGATCTTCTGGAGTCATCTCGCCAATGCACTCTGGTTAGTGGCCACTTTCCTCCCTTCCCTGAAGTGTGGATCAAGGGAGATCATCGGAGGCGTACTTCCTATGTAGTTCCCACAAATGTATCTTGGACT